GGGACAGAATCGCTTCCTTACCCTGAAGACATTGACCTTTTTCTACTGTATCAGAAGATTCAACCTCAGGAGTGACTGGCTTCCTCAGAACAGTTCTTATGAAAATCTGCATCTGGGGCTAGGGATTTAGCTTAGCGGCATAAGCATTTGCCTTGCAAGTGTGTGGTTGTGAGTTCAATCCCCACATCAAAAAAAACAAAAAGACAAAAAAAAAATCTGCATCTTAGAGGCAGATGCACTACAAATGATTTTTAATCTTAAGAACAAGGTGTTATAATTATGATCCAAGCTGACCATGGTGGCACACATCTGTAACCTCACCTATTCTGGAAACTGGAGCAGGAGGATAGCAAGTCTAAGGCTAGCCTAGGAAACTTCCAAGACCTTATCTTTTTCTTTCCTTCTTTTATGGTACTGTGAATTGAGCCTAAGGAGCACTAAACCACATCCTGAGGCCTTTTTTACAAAATGTAATTTAATTTAATTCAACTTAATTTTAATTTTTGGTTTTCTGATGCTGGATCTTACTATATAGTTTAGACTGGCCTTGCATGTGTTATGTAAGGCCTCAAACTTAGAGCAATCCTCCTGCCTCAGCCTATTAAGTGCTAGGATTACAGACATGTGCCAACACATGCAGGCTTTTTATTTTGTTTTGTTTTGTTTTGTTTTGTTGAGGGCTTTGTTTTTGCTTTTGTTTATTTGCATTTTTTTTTCTTGAGATGAGTCTTACCAAATTCCCCAGGCTAGTCTCAAATGTATGATCTTTCTGCCTCAGCCGCCTAAATAGCTGCGATCACAGGCGTGCACCTCCACCACCTGGCAAAATATCAGAATTTCATAAAACCAAATGATGCAAACATCTTGACTGCCAAGAGTTTAATATTTCCCAACACGCGGCAATTTTTTTTATTCATCAAAGGAAAAAATCAATGACGCATTATTGAACATATTCTAAACCACATCCAAATGTTGCAACAGAATGGAAAAAAGAGAAACTTCCCAGAACTTAATATAACCAAAGCAAATTAATACAATTTCTTCTCTTTCCCAAATTACAACTTTCAATTTTTAAGGTTACTCTGTACTCTGGATCTTAGAATCTGATAACTTGAAGCTATAGTCAGCTGGTAACTCTTCATGTTAACTGATCTATTTTAGCCCCACTTATTCAGAATTATCAAGTAGCTGTCAGACAGCCCTTGCCATATGTGGCAAGCTCTGTAAACCAAGTTTTATAATTCTAGTAGAACTAAAAATTAAGAAATTAGGGGCTGGGGATTTAGCTCAGCGGCATATGCACCTTCCTTGCAAGTGTGCGGTCATGAGTTTGATCTCTAGTACCGATAAAAATGAAAAAGACAAAAAAAATTAAGAAATTAGTTGATCATGCCAGATATGGTAGTATACACATGTAGTCCTAGCACTCTGGGAGGCTGAGGCAGGAAGATTACCAAGTTTGAGCCTAGCCTGGGTAACTTAGCTACTTAGCAAGACCCTGTCTCAAATAAAATATGAAAAAAGAACTGGGGACATAGTTCAGTGCAAAGGCTCTGGGTTCAATCTCTAGTACCCAGAGAGAAAGAAAGAAAGAAAGAAAAAATAGAAAAAAAGAAAGAGACATTAGTTGGTTGTGAAGCCTGACACACATGTTTTAATGGGCATGTTTTTAGTTTACAATATTAAACAGATAATATTATTGAAAATAGTTGCAAACATTGCTGGACATTGTAGCTCATGCCGATAATCCCAGCACTTGGGAGGATAATGCAGGAGGATTGCTGTTGAGTTCAAGACCATAGTGAGTTCAAGCCCAGCCTGAACTACTCTCTACTTAGAGAGTTCCTGCCTCAAAAAAATTTTGGGGGGGGCTGGGGATTTAGCTCAGCGGCATAAGCACCTGCCTTGCAAGCAGGCGGTCGTGAGTTCGATCCCCAGTACCGATAAAAATGAAAAAGACAAAAAAAAAAATTTTTTTTAACTATTACATATTCTGTTATCTTAACCATGATGGTAAAACAACTTTTTTGTTTTATTTTATTTTTCAGTTGTTCTAGGGATTGATCAAATGGTCTCTCATATATGAGGCAAGCATCCCATTGCTGAACTACATATCTAGCTCAAAGCAAATAAATTAATTTACTAGAATAATAGTCTTCAGATGTGTCAAAATTTTATGAAGCAGCTATAGATTGAATTGCCAGATTTTGGTGCAACATGATGAAACACACAAATAGTCTTAGCTCTTGAGAGCCTGAGGCAGGAGGATTACCATGAGTTCAAGGGCAATGTGGCCTACATAAGTGAATTCAAGGCCAGCCTGCACTACATAGCAAGGTCCTGTCTCAAAAAAAATGACAGATTTAAGAAAAAAAAACACAAGAATGTTAATTTAATTTGGGTAAATAAATTTTGTAAGTATGATCCAAACTGACCATGGTGGCACACATCTGTAATCTCACCTACTCAGACAAGAAGATAGCAAGTTTGAGGCTATCTTGAAATGAAAAATAAAAAGAGCTAGGGATGTAGCACAGTGGTAGAGTACCCAGGGTTTTATCCCTAGTGGAAAAAAAAATATGATTCAAATGCTAGATAGGAAATATTCACACTAAAGAATTTTTTTTAAGCGGTAGCAAAGTTTATTTGAAGAAGATAAAAGTGACGAGTGAGGGAGAAACTGGCTCTGCAGAGTGAGCTTAAGCCAAGTAAAAGGAAAAAGGAAGATGAAAAGACACCCTGAAGGACACAGGGTGGCACTGTGAGGAAAGCCCAAGAGCCCACACTAAAGAGTTACTGATATTTTATCTGTCAATCCTCATAAGAGGTTAAAATTTTAAGGAACACAAATTGAGGCTATTTGAGGAAGAAGAAAGACCTAGGAAATCCATATTGGTAAGTAGCTACTGCTGAAATCCAGAGGAGAAATTACAAGGAGCTGGTGTATGTCCATGAAACTGAAAAGAAAATAATTGCAACAATATTGTTGTCAGCAAATAACCAGAAAGATCTACCACTAAATATGGACTAAAAAGAAGCTGTAATGTCAGAGGCTTTTGGATTTCCATAACAGAGTTGGGACAGTGGAAGTTCCCTTGAAATTGGATTGATTTGTGGGATATCCAGGTAAAAAATGCTAATGTTTATTTGTTTGAGGAGACAGGGTCTCACTATGTAATTTAGTAGTTCAGCTTGGCTTAAATTCAGCATGTATCTCAGGCTGGCCTTGATCTCATGGTAATTCTCCTGGCTGAGGCTCCCAAATTCTGGAATTACAGGAATGCACCACCACATTCAGTTTTTAAAAGTTTTTAAAACGAATTTTAACAAGAAAGAAAGGAGAGAAGGATGGAAGAAAGACAGAAAAGAAAAGAAAAGAAGCTTGGCTGGTTAAAGCACTTGTGTATTTTTTAATCAGATTTTATTGGTACATTTTAGATACATAATGATCACATTCGTCATAGAGAATTTGTACCTATACATGATATAACTTGATTCTTTTGTGATTTTTTTTTTTTTTTTTTTTTTTGGTTCAGGCAGGTGCTTAAGCCACTGAGCTAAATCCCCAGCCCTTCTTGATTCTTTCTTTCCCATTTCTCTAGTCTCCCTTCAATTCCTCTTCCCCACCCCATTTACAAAAGCTTTGTTTCCTTTTTTTCCTTTTCTTGCTTTTTTTTATTTTTCTCTTCTTTCCTTTCCCTCTCCGCTTTCTCTTTCCCCCCTCCCACTTGAACATTTTCTTCTTATACTGATTTATAAGATTGTGGTTCTTATTTACACTTTTGATTTCATATATCAGAGAAACAATGTGGTATTTACACATGTGTCCAGTGTACTTCACTAGAGAATATGGTCTCAAGAGACATCCATTAACCTAGGAATGTCTGAAGTTTATCCTTTATAGCAGAGTAGTACTCCATTGTAGGAAAAAACCACATCTTCTTTATCCATTCACCAGTTGATGAGTATTTAGGCTGTTTCCAAGATTTGGCTATTACAAGCTGAAAGAATCTACCTATTAAAAAAAAAGAAAGAAAAGAAGATAAAAGGAATGCCTCAAGAAATACTTGTTTTAACATAGAGCTAGATCTTTTCAAATGGGAAGGAGTCCAAGATATTAAGGGGAGGTAGACATAAAAAAATTAAAATGTGTTTTATACCTATGCCAACTCCCTATGATGAGTGTAATCATACACTGCAAACATAAACCAATAAAAATAAATATTTCTTGGGGCTGGGGGTTTGGCTCAGCGGCGTAAACGCCTGCCTTGCAAACAGGCAGTCGTGAGTTCAATCCCTGGTACTGATAAAAACAAAAAAGACCAAAAAAAAAAAAAGATTAAAAATAAATATTTCTTTTAGATTATGGAGAAAGTTTAAGAGATAACCTGGAAAGAATCTGACAATAGGAAGCTAAAAGAGTTTCAACAAAAATAGGCAAGTCAGGCATGGTGGCACATGCCTGTGATACCTGCACTCCAGAGGCTGAGGTAGGAGGATCACTTCAAGTTCAAGGCCAACCTAGGCTACATACTTCAAGGCTAGCCCAAATTGCACAGTGGAGCCTGTCTCAAGAAAAAAAAAAAAAGCAAGACATTATGGCACATGCCTCGTAATCACAGCATTCAGGAAGCTGAGGCAGGAGGATTGCCTCAAGTTCAAGGTCAGCCTGAACTATAGCAAGACCCTGTCTCAAAAAAAATCAAAAATTAGAAGTTTGAGCCCAACCTGTGTAATTCAGCTACTCATGAGACCTTGTCTGAAAAATAAAAAATTTTAAAAAGAGGCTGGAATGTAGCTCAGTAAGAAGACCTTGAATTAAAGCACCACGAAAAAGAATTTGGACAAGAATATCATATGTTTCATATTATGGAAGATAAGGATGGATAAGAAAATCCTGGAAATAGAAATTGCAACTGGGTGAGAAATGTACAGAAAGTAGACGCAGTGTCTTAGTCACATTTTTTGGTCGCTAGTAGAAAATATCCAACATCAGCAACTTAAAGGAAGAAAGGTTTATTTTGGCCCACAGTGTCACTCCATGATCAGCTGGCTCCAAGGCAGGACACTTCAGCAGAAGGGAATAGCAAAGGAAAGACTTCTCATGTCTCTGGGGCCAGGAAGCTGAGATGGCAGGTCACACCTGCAGTGACCCAACTCTTCCAACCAGGCCATGCCTTCCAACAGCACTCACAGCAACAGCGCCCCCAAAATCCAATCACCTTTCAGAAGAATCACCTATGACCACATGTGGCTTTGGATGACACCTGTATGTAAAACATAATGATCAGCTAATTACTATATATCACTTTCTGAAGATACATCACAGTGAAGACCAAGTAATCAAATAGTTAGCTGAAGAGCAAACAAGGTGACAGTGCACAGAATATAGTAACTCTCAGCTGTAATCCCAGCACTCAGGAGATGGAGGCAAGTGCATCGCCGTGAGTTTAAGGCCAGCCTGGGCTACATATTGAGTTCAAAATCAGCCTGAACTATATAGAAAGACTGTTTTTTTTTTTTTAATGGGGGTGGTGTGGGGTGGAAATAGTAAAATGTCTTCTTTTCTTTTCTTTTGTAAAGTATGTCTATAGACCGATCTTATTGAAACGGGCAAATTACAAACATGTGGCTGAGAAGACAAGATTAGTTTTAGGGGAAGTAAGGAGATAGGATTAAGAACTTTGCATGGAAAAGTTACTCTCAGAAAGCCAAGGAGGCACCCTTTTACTAATAATATATGTGGACATTTGGAAGTTGAGGAAAGAGAAGTTAAGTCACGTGTGATGACTTTGGTTCTCGTAGATAAACTATGCAGGTGTGGCAATTGGGAGGTCAACTTGGTATGAATAAAAAATTGTCAAGTGCTCTGAGATCTTACCAAAATTGGAAGGCATACATTTTTCATGAAGCGATAAAAGAACACGGTTACTAATTTCTCTATGGGTACTATTTAGAGACCTGATACAAGAGAGTGAATAGAGAGCAGTTCTCCCCAGTTTGGAGGCCTAATAGACAAGTTGAAAAATTAAAACAGTATTAGAGATGCAGTCTAAAAATTGGAAGAAAGGAATGAGACCCTGGGAAACAAGTGAGGCCAGAAGTTAATGGTTGAGAAGAAAATGAATTCTGGAACCTGACGTTGATAGAAAACAGATTCAAAAGTGGCAGAGTAGGACTAGCAAAGGAGAGACACTGGTAGCATGTTTCACAAAAAGTTACAAATAAATACAAACATTTCATATATATACTTGCAAATAAATGCACATTCACTTTGAAATCAGTAAGTAAAAGATAGGGCCAGGAATTTGGCTTAGTGGCATAAGCACCTGCCTGGCAAGTGCAAGGTTACGAGTTTGATCCCCGGTTCCAAAATAAAAAAAAGTAAACGATAAATAGCCCTATCAAAAGGGATCAGTAGGGAAATCTGCAAAAGATATACAAACAATAGAGTCTTAAAACCATAGTAATTTTTAAAACCATAGTAATTAGAGAAGTGCAGTTTTTAAAAATTAATATCTTTTAACCTATTGAGTAAATATCTCAGAGATTAAGAGTAACCTATATTTGTGAAGTGATGAAAAATAAGCACTTCCATACCTACTTATAGGAATAAAAATTGTTATAACCTTTGTAGTATACATTTGGTAATAGCTATTAAAATTCTAAATATACATGCCCTATAACATTTATATTTTTAATACTTTAGGGAATTTAACATGCAAAAAAATTTTATTTAGAGAAAAAGCAAAACAGAAAAAAAGGTAAAAGTAATACAGAATTTCAAAAAAATAATAGTAAGGAATCACTAGTGGATAAATTGTTTAAAAAAAATTTGAGGCAGGGTCTCAGGACGCATTTTAGGCTGGCCTTGAACTCACTATGTAACCCAGGCTGCCCTCAAACTCACTGTGACCATCCTGCCTCAGCCTACCAAGTGCTGGAATCAACAAACCTGGCACAAAAAATATTTTCACCAGTGCTTAGACAAATATGTACAAGGATATTCATTGCAATGTTCGTATATTTATTCATCAGTTTCTTTCACTGAGACAAAAATTAACTCACAAATTAAAGAAAGAAAGGTGTGCTTTGGTTAATGTTCCAGTTCGTGGTTGAGTGGCTCACAAGAAGAAATAACGTGGCAGAGGAATCCGAGCAGAGAAAAACTGCTTGCTTCATGGTATCTAAGAAGCAAAAAGTGAAGGGAAAAGCTGGGAAGGGAGATTCGCCTTTCTAGGCTGTGCCCACAGGGACCCTCCTGTTCTGAGCAGACCCCATCTCCTAACAGCAAATCAGCTATGATGCCCATAATTCAACCATCTTTCAAAAACCCCACTAAGTGAGCACATGATGCTGTGTGGGAACATCCAAATATAAACCTTAACGTTCCACCCTAGGCCCAAAAGACTCACAGACATCTCTATGCAAAATGCATTTAGTCTGGCCATAGTGGCTCACACTTGTAACTCCAGCACTCAGGAAACTGAGGCAGGAGGATTGCTACAAGCTCAAGGCCAGCCTGAACTACATACTGATCTTGTCTCAAAAACAAAACAAAGTAAAACAAAAAGTGTTTAGTCACCAAAATCCTAACAGTTCCAGCTTTGCTGAAATGTCCAAGTCCAAAGTCTCCTCTGAAACTCAAAACAAACTCTTAGCTGTGTCGCTGCAAAACTAAAAAAAGAAAATTAAACACTGCTAGCATACAATGCACAGGGATTGTTTATCCCCACTCCAAAACGAAATGTAGGGACAGAAACTAGTGGGAAAAGCAAGACCAAAATCCAGTGGGGCAAACATTAAATTCTGTGGTTCCACGTCCAGCATCAAGGGCAAGCTGTGCTAACGTGTGAACTCCAAGAAGCTCGGTGGACCTGCTGCTACAGCATTGCGTATAATTGCGGCCCTGATAGTGTCTTTCTTCAGCTAGTTTTGCTCACTCTTTGTGGCTTGCTGCAAACGGTCCACATTTGTGGCTTCTGCAACTTCCTGAGGTCTCCACTGCATTTTCTGCTTCGCCCTTACTGCTTCATGCTCCGCCCTCTCAGGGGCATGCTGCCTGGCATCACAGGGCTTCTTCTGCAATCTGGTTGGAAGCCTCCCTAAGAGCATAACATTTGCTGCTCCTTGTAAAATCAACACTATGTGGGTGATGCCATTGCATGCTGCCAGCTAGAGCAGTCACCAGGCACCCCTTTCTTAAATCATATTTTATTGGAACATTTTAGATGTACATAATGCTCACATTCATCATGTAGAATTTGTACCTGTACATGATATAACTTTTTCCCCATTCCTCTACTTTCCCTTCAACCCCTTCTCACCTCCTCATTTACAAAAGCTTTGTTTCCATATTTTCCTTTTTTCTCTTTTTTTTTTTACTTTTCTCTTCTTTCCTTTTCCTCATCACTTTCCCTTCTTCCCTATTTGAATATTTTCTTCCTATTTCACAACATCTATTATAACATTTTGGTGCTTATTTACACCTTTGGCTTCTCATACCAGAAAAACAATGTGGTATTTACACGTGTTATATCTGATTTATTTCACATAAGAGTATGGACTCAGGTGCATCCATTTTCCTAGAAATGTCTTGAGCATTTCTTCTTTATCACAGAGTAGTACTCCATTTGTAGAAAAATCCACATCTTCTTTATCCATTCACCAGCTGATGGGAATTTGGGCTCTTTCTAAGATTTGGCTATTACAAACTATGGCACTACAAACATAGGTATGCATACATCATTTTGTATGATGCTTTCAATTCTTTTGAGAAGATACCTAGAAGGGGAATAGCTTGGTCAAATAAAACCTCTAGTCCTAGTTTTTTGGGGGGAATCTCCACACTGATCTCTACAGTGGTTGCACTAGCATACACTCCCACCATCAGTGAGGAAGGGTTCATTTTTCCCCACAGCCCCTCCAGTATTTGTTATTAGTTGATTTCTTAAATTTTTTTTTTTTTTTGTCTTTTTCGTTTTTATCGGTACCAGGGATTGAACTCACGACTGCCTGCTTGCAAGGCAGGTGCTTATGCCGCTGAGCTAAATCCCCAACCCCTATTAGTTGATTTCTTGATACTAGCCATTCTTTCTGGGGTGAGATGGAAACACAGTGTTTTGTTTTTGTTTTTGTTTTTTGTCTTTTTCCTTTTTATCGGTACCAGGAATCGAATTCATGATTGCCTGCTTCCAAGGCAGGTGCTTATGCCGCTGAGCTAAATCCTCAGCCCCCACAGTGTTATTTTAATCTGCACCTCTCAAATGACCAGTGATGTTGAACACTTCTTCATGTATTTATTTGCTGTTTGTATTTCTTCATCTCAGATGCCCATTTTTGGATTGAGTTTTTAAATTTGGAAGATCTGATTATTTTCATTTCTTTATATGTTCTTGATAGTAATCCTTTGTCTGAGGAACAACTGGCAAACATTTTTTCCCACATTGTGGATTGTTTCTTCACTCTGTTAGTGATTTCTCTAGCTGTGAAAAACCCTTTTAATAAGATGGTCCCAGTTGTTGATTCTTCATGATAGTTCCTCTGTGATCAGGATTTCATTCATAAAGTCTTTGAGCCTGGGCATGATGGCACATGCCTGTAATCCCAGCACTCAGGATACTGAGGCAAAAGAATCACTATGGGTTTGAGGCCAGCCTGGGCTACACAGTGAGTCTAAGGCCAGCCTAAGATACATAGACAAGGGGTCTCCCAAAAAAAAAAAAAAAGGTGGGGAGGGGGTCAGGGAACAGCAGCATAGCACGAGGTCGTTGGGGCTGGACATTTAGCTCAGTGGCATAAGCGCCTTCCTTGCAAGTGTGCGGTCATGAGTTCGATCCCTGGTACCGATAAAAACGAAAAAGACAAAAAAAAAAAAAAAAAAAGCACGAGGTCGTGAGGTGGATCCCCAGTACCAAAAACATAAAAGTCTTTGAGCAAGGCCCCTTTGAATTGAGGATGCAGAGACCTCTGAGTGGCTATATGGCTGAACATTGTGAACTGAATCCCAGGAAACCAATTTCTTGGGGCTCCCTTCTCAAAGTCTTTCACTTTTGCACCTCTAAGTCTGTGAGGGTAGGGCCTTGCTGATTTCTTAAGTACCCTCAAACCATTTTTCCTATTGTCCTGATCCGAAGTACTTGACTTGGCTTCTTTTTATTTATAAGGCTTTGGTGGAACATTCAGATATGAACCATAACAGTTTGAGGTGACTTGGAAAGAGGACACATGGAAAAGTATAATAATGAAACACATAACAGTATAATATGAAATTTAGTCAGGTGTCGTGGCACAAGCCTGTAATTTCAGCCACTTAGAAGCTGAGGCAGAAAGATTCCAATTTGAGGACACCCTAAGAATTTAGCAAGACTCTATAGCAAAATAAAACACAAAGGGCTGGGGGTTGTAGATGGGTGTAGGTAATGGCCTAGCATTGTGATGCCTGGCTTTGGATCCACCCACATGATCCTATTTAGAAAATGTTGTTTGAGCTATTAACCTTGGCTGCCCCAACCCTGGCAGTTGTGGAAATATTCCTCTGCTGATCTAGGCTCCAATTTAATCTAGTGGATCATTTTCTCACTCACTGTGGGTGTGTCTGAAACTTGATCATGTTCTTGTTGAACTATTCATGAAGCTTCTGAGCTCAGCGTAGGAGTCGGAAGGGCCACCAGCCACTCTGCTTTTGTAAGAAGGGGCTGAGAATAAGAGAGGTTGCCAAGAGATGTGCTTGAGTAGGAAGAGACTGCCCTGGCAACAGCCAAATCCAACCCTGGATAGCCCTCATGAAAGGTAAAAACTACCCATTGCCTTACTGGTGTTTCAACTGGGAAAAATTCCAACAATCTTGAGTTTAATACTGCCTTCCTGTGGGAAAACAGGGATAATAATGGGGGAAGAAAGATGTTTGTTTCATTAAAGAATGTTTTTGCTTTTTTTTTTGTCTTTTTCCTTTTTATTGGTACCAGGGATCGAACTCATGACCGCCTGCTTGCAAGACAGGCGCTTATGCCGCTGAGCTAAATCCCCAGCCCCTGTTTTTGCTTTTTTAATTAAGACTTTTCTCTGAGTGAGGATGATATTGGGGCATGGTCTTTTTCTAAGATAAATTAGAAGAACCTCTGATTGGTCCTATTCGCCAAATCCTGTCTTTGATTTTAGGGATTATAGTCAGGAAGCTTCATTTTTATGTTTCTTCATCATTACGTCCTTCTTAGGATTAACTTTATGATCAGGAAAGCACTTACGGGTCTTTTTAGTTGTGGGGAGTTTTCTTTGTTTTTAGTTGTGGTTTTTATTAGGGTGGGTGCAAAACAGGGTTTCACCTTTGGAGTTCAGGCTACCTTGAACTCACTGTGTAACCCTAACTGCCCTTAAACTCATGGGGATCCTTCTGCCTCAGCCTGCTGAGTACCAAGATTATAGGCATGTACCATGGTGCCCAGTAGTTATGGGGGATTTTTAAGAACGAAATGGCATTCTAGGTGGAAATGTTGTGGTGATTTGGGAAGAGAACACATGGAAAAGAAGAAGTGATCTTTGTAGAAGTCAAAGAGGAACTGACTTTGCTGAAGATTCATAAATGCCTTCAATCTGTTTCTCTCAGTTTAGCAGGACCAATTTTACCACAGACCAAAAGATCCATGCCTCACTTTCTTCCCCCCACTCTAGTCCTGAATAGTACTGCTCCTTGTTTTATCTCACACAAAACAGGAACCTTAAAAGGCCTTTCAAAAAACCAATAAAGATGACTGTTCTCTTTGGAAAACAAATTTTAGACCTACCATTTTATTTACCCTACTGGGAAAGAACTTTCATTGAGAATTCAAATTTGTTTTTCTGTTGACATATGCTGTCCTCAGACTTGAGAGCCTCCCACCTTAACTTCCTGAGTAGCTAGATATGTGCCACCATGCCTCGTTGGATCTACCATGTTTGACAGGGTATCAGTCAAGAAAAGCAATTTTTGCATAAGAGATTTTTTTTTTTTTTTGTCTTTTTGAGACAGGATCTCACTATGCAGTTCAGGCTGTCCATAAAAGATCATAAAGAAAGGAAACTGAAGATCCAAGGCCCTAATAATTTGTTGAACCTTTTTTTTTTTTCTTCAGTTAAAAATCTAAATTTTTATCTAAATTTCTATCAAAATCTTGTATTTTTCTTAAAGACAGATTTATAAACTTCAGGGCCATAAAATCTAGATCCCTACATATGACAAGAACAGCCAAGAATAAACATAACAAAATTAGAACCACAACACTAGCCTTTTTCTTTTTTTCCATTTCACTGCCAATGTACTTTACTTTTTGACCGAGGAGGGAAAAGAACAGTGTGGAATTTGATAGCTGATAGAAGTCTGAATGGGTAAACTAGAGACACTTTGCCCCCAGGTTCAGAAATTCAGATGTAATTAGATAAAAGAGAGAACCAAAGGTGACAATCGATCCCTTCCACTTTCCAAATTCTGAATGAAGGTTTTCAGTTTCTCTGTAGTAAGAGGCCACAGCAAACACCCTTCAAATCATCTCTTCAATTTCATGATCCTACCTCTTCACGTTTTCTTACACAAGGCTGTTTCACTGGTCTCCTTGATCTCTTTCTCCAGAATGCAGACATCCCATCATTTTGTCCTACGTTGGTCTTCTAATCTGTGATTTCAATTATGCAACCCTTTGATGACTATTAACTCCAGAGATCTTGCTCTTCTTTTCCCCTAAGTGCTTAGTCCAATATTTCTGTCTCCTGAACATGTTTAAATTCTGGCAAGCACAAGGTCATGAGTTCAATCCCTGGTAAAAAAAAAAAAAAAAGAAAAAAAAAATTCAGTTTGCCAGAAACAGAATTCATCACAACCCCTTAAAACATCTGCTAGTCCTAAAATAAATAATTCTATGAATGGGAACATTTTTCTTTCAACTTTCCAAATTCAAGTCCCAGAATTTCTTGGTCACTTCCTTTTCCCACTCAACATGCATTTAATTTCTAAATTATTGTAAATCCTTTCACAATCTCACGTCAATTATTTCTATTACTCAGTCTGTGACCCTGGCTTTTGTTTCCTCTTGAGACTACTATAACTCTTCACTATTGTTTTGTCTTAAGTTGTGTTATTTAATATTCCCAATACCTTTTACATACTTGCTACTTAACTTTCTGAAGCATGGGTTTGATATTTAACTTCCTTCATTCAGTAAGCATGCATTGTGTAGGCATGATGTGCCAGGAACCGATATAAATCCACTCATTTAGGTTTGCTAAGTAAATATTTTCAATGTGCCAACACAGCCCCAAGACACTGAAGCTATGCCGTGAATAGGCAAGACCCCGGGGCTTACCTCCAGTCAGAGCCGAGAAGATACTCAGTAAGATATGACTCCTGCTTTTCAAGTGTTCATCTGCTTAACAACCCTCAGAGATCACTCTGTACCGGAAAGAATAAAATCCTACTTTATTGTCCTGACATTCAAGGCTCAAGATTTTCATTAATTTAAAAATAGTTCTCAAGTATATGTTGATTGATTTCTTTAATCATTTCTCAGAAGATACGGTCTCTCACTCTGGCCTTCTCCATTATTTATTTATTTATTTATTTATTTACAGGGTTTGGTCTTTTTTTTTTTTTTTTTTTTTTTTTTTTTTGAGACAGGATCTTGCTATAAAGTTCAGCTTTGCCTTAAACTCACTATGTAGCCCAGACTGGCCTCAAATTTGTGGCAATCCTCCTGACTCAGCCTTCAAGTGCTGGGGTTACAGGCATTCATCACCACACCCAGTACTGCATACAATTTTCTAATATGTCTCTATGCTTTTTAAAATATAAAATCCATGTACCTTTGCTACTTTTCTCATTGCTAAGACAAAATACTCAACACCAAAGTAAAAGGGGGAAAGGTTTATTTGGCTCACAGTCTGTAGAGGTTTCAGTCCACAATCTGCCGACTCCAAGGAGAGTGGCACAGGGAAAAAGGACAATAGTTCATGGTAGTGGAAAGCTATAGGCAAGGAAAGGGAGAAAGAGAGACATTTTGTGTCCCTTATATTGTATGCAGTGTAGCACTCACACCCAGAAGCCTAGTACTGGGCTATGAATCAATTGAAAATGTTCCTCCCAAAAGTCAGCAACCTTCCAAAAGTCCACCCCTTGACTGCATGAGGCTCTGGGGGTCATCCAGACACAAACCATGGCACCAACGAAAATCAATATTATTCATCTAGATTATTCATCTAGATGCTATACTTCTGTTACTTGAGATAGTCATTCTTATTGGAGTGAGGTGATACCTCATTGTGGCCTTTGATTTGTACTGGCTGATGATTAGTAATGTTAAACTTTTTTTTCATATACCTGTTGATATTTTTGTTCTTTTCAGTGCTAAGTTTGGAACATACTTACACATACTGGGCAAACACCCTGCCACTGAATTACATTCCCAACCCCTATGTGACTTCTTTTTGAGAAATGTCTATTTAGGCACGTCACCCATGTTCTCTCTCTCTCTCTCTCTCTCTCTCTCTTTCTCTCTCTCTATCTGTCGTGTGTGTGTATGTGTGTGTGTGTGTGTGTGTGTGTGTGTGTATGTGCATAGTATTGGGGATACTCCTTGCACAGCAACCAAGCTACGTTCCCAGCTCTGGAGTCCTCCTATTTTCTGGATACTAACTGCTTGTCAGATGTGGAGTTTGCAGATATTTTCTCCCATTGTGATCCTTCACTGTGTTGTTTCCTTTGCTAAGCAGAAGTTTGTAGCTTGAGATAATCTCATTTTTTTCTTCTGTCTACTGATCTTTTAGGGTCTTCTCCCTAAAAATTATTTTCCAGTTCAATACTCAGAAGTATTTTGTTTGTTTTTTCCTAATAGTTTCATAGTTTCAAATCTCACATTTAAGTCTTTAACCACATTTAAGTTGACTTTTATAACTGGTCTAGTTTCATTCTTCTGTATGTGAACATCCAATTTTCCCTGTGCCATTTATTAAAATACTATGCTTTTCCCATTGTGTATCCTTTCCACCTTTGTCAAAGATAAGCTGGTGCAGATGTGGAGGTTTATTTGTGGTTCTCCTCTGTAGCCCATTCATCTGAGTATCTGGTTTTGTGCCAACACCATGCTGTTTTTTTAATTTAGGTTGTGGCTTTTATTTTAGTGGGATTTTCCTCTCATTTGTTGTTGTTGTTGTTTTGGGGGTGTTTTTTGTTTGTTTGGTTGGTTGGTTTTTGGTTCTTTTGAGACAGGGTCTCACCAGGTAGTTCAGGCTGGACTTGAGCTCACTGTGTGGCCTCAAACTCACAGTGATCCTCTCGCCTCAACCTCCCAAGTGCTGGGATTACAAGCATGCGCTACCATGCCTAGCCATTCTCTGTGTGTTGTTTCTCTCTTTCTTTCTTTTTTTTTCTTTATTCTCTTTCTTTTTTCTTTTCTTTTCCTATATTGGCAAATGAACCAGGATCTTTGTACTAAACTCCATCCTCAGTCCTCATTTTTTTCTTTTTTATCTTTTTGAGATAGGATCCCTCTATGCAGTTCAGGCTGGACTTGAGCTCACTTTGTAGCCCAGGCTGGTCTTGAACTCGCAAGGATGCTCTTGCCTCAGCCTCCCAAATGCTGGTATTACAGGCGTGAGCCACCATGCCCACCCTCAGCCCGTATTTTAAAAAGTGTTTTTATTTTGAGACAGAAATCTCACTGAGTCAAGAAATTGGCCAGGCTGGACTTGAATTTTGATCTTACTCCTTCAGCCTTCTAGACTGTGGCACCATGCCTGGTTGTCCCATGCTGTTTTGATTACTATATTTCTGTACTATATTTTGATGTCAAATGGTGTAATGCTTCAGGCTGTGTTGTTTTTGCTCAAGATGGCTTTGGTTTTGGAGAGTTTTTCATGTTTCCACAAAAAATTTTAGTATTTTTTTCCTAGTTCTGTAAAGAATGTCACTCATATTTTGATAAAGATTGTACTGAATCTGTAGATCACTTTGAGTAGTATGGTCATTTTAACAATAGTGAATCTTCTAATTCATGAACAAGAGATAGTTTTTTTTTTGTCCTCAAATTCCTTGATCAATGTTTTATAGTTTTCATTGTAGAGATCTTTCACTCCTTGACTAAAAAAAGTCAATTATCCACGATAATGGTTTTTAAAGTCAATTGCTTCCTATAATTCCATTATCTTCTTATTTATCTTCAGGCTACTTTATTTTTTATTTTTAAGGTAGTAAAATACAAGAGAACAAGACAGAACAAAGCCAGTTGAGACACTGTAGTGAAATTGGTACAGAACTTCACAGCAAATTACCGGGATAATAACAATAGGTATCATAGTATATCTCATTATCATCACAATAGTTGTTCTTTTAATCACGTATAGCAAAATAAAATGAAGTACAGAACATTATAGAACTTATCAAAACAGAATAGTGAATAGAACAGTACCATTAGTCAGAATAAAGCAAAATAGTAGTAAAAATATTTGCCTTCAAAAAGATGGTAGAAGGAAATTCCTCTTATTTGCTATATTGCATATGGTCAACCTCCCAAGAGATGCTCAGATCTCTAGTTCCCATTTGCTAGAGGGGGCCAGGGGAAGTGGGATGTTTAACTCTAAGCCCGTGTACAGGTAGGCTCACTATTGCTTAACAGGGAGGCAGGCTTATTGCTTGGTTTCCCAGCGTCCTAAGTTCCAACATGGCGCAGATCTCAGGAGTCATTGGTGGTTCTTCCCCTGGGGTGCCTGCAGAAATTTTATTTTATTTTTTCAGGCTATTTTTATTAGGTTATATCTTTCTACTAAATCAAACCATTTATCATTGCCTATTAATCCTCTTCATCTCTAATATTACTTTTTTTTTGGTCTTTGGTTTTTTGAGAAAGGATCTAACTATGCAGTTTAGGCTGGCCTTGAACTACCTATGTAGCCCACACTGGCCTTGAATTTGAGGTGCTCTTCCTGTCTCAGCCTCACGAATAATGGAATCACAGGTATGCACCACCATACCCAGTCTTAAGAACTCTTTGTCTGACGTTAATACAGCCTCAGTTTTCTTTTGATTGTTATTTACCTAGTGTACTTTTTTCTTCTATCCCCTACTTTTTTTTCAGTCTCTCCATGTCTTTAGATTATAGATGAATTTTTTTTTTGTCTTTTTCATTTTTTATCGGTACCAAGGATCGAACTCATGACTGCCTGCTTGCAAGCCAGGGATCAAACTCACGACTGCCTGCTTGCAAGGCAGGCGCTTATGCCACTGAGCTAAATCCCCAGCCCCTGATGAATATTTTTTAAACACCATATAACCGGACAGGGGCAAAGACCTAAAAGTAGTTATTTGTCATTTTTTATCTGACAAACATCCAAAATCCCTCCTATTTGGGAAACTTTCCTCAATGTGAATCTGAGGGAGACAGAACCTCATTCTCCCTAGGAACTTAAAGAAGTCAAATATTTCCTTTCCCACTTTATGGCAGCTCAGGTGCTGGTTTATGATTTGGCCTTGATCAGTCAGATGGGTTGGAATATTGAATAACACAGAGATGACACAAATTGCAGTCCAGGCATGGAAGAGATCACAATATCCAATGACAGCAGTGGCAATGTCTGGTGGTGGTGATGTCTAGTGCCAGCACTGCCCTAACCAGACTTTTCTTATACAAACCTTGGCATAGTTTCTGACTGCTGGCTTTTGTTGGTTTTCACCTGTTTAGAAGATTAGTTCTCCTGAGCTACCTGATTTTTTTTACCATAAATATATTTTCTATTTAAGAAAACCCAAAACTGGGCATGGTGGTG